TTCCACTGCTGAGGATGTCCTTATATAATTTTACAAAACTTATTGCTTACTATTGATATATGTTTCCATATATTTTCACATATAAAGATCACCTTTAAATCCCCAAAATCACCCTTAACAATTGGTGATCCTCTTATAGTACAATTCTAAAAAAGAAACCTTAAATTCTGAGTGATGTTTGTCAATAGGCTAACTTCGGCCTCGGTGCAACAACCAATAAAGTTCATGAAAAGATGCACATTATCAAATAAACTGATAATAAAAGTAATTCTACCTTACATATTACTGGCATAACTTTATAATAAATTGCAGAATAATTCCATATAATTTAAATCAAATTGTATCCATGCAAGCTCAGCTGAGAAAATGTAAACATTGAGTTATGATTACGTTCACAGCAACCTTTTGCTAAACTTTCAATGATCATCATGTTAGTGTTAATTATGGCAGTAATAACATTTAAGATAATATTCATTTCTCATTAAAAATTAATTATCATAACACAATTTAGGATTACATACAACCCTTATTTTTCAAATAAAAATCCTTTTACAGTAATTTTCAATTTAAACATTGCTTCATAATTTCTTTGTTTTGCTGGTGGTTACATGATTGATATGTATATAAGTTAATGAGAACTTTCAACTGGCTTAGACAGAAATTAGGAACAGATTGAATGAAAAAAAAAAAAGGTTGAAAGTGGAATGTACTATTATCATACATTATTGTACTGTTATTAGCAGTATTTTGTGATTGTTGATGAAGTAAATGGTCATTGGTACACCAGGCTGTTTTAACTGTTTAGATATAGGAAAAGAAGAGGAAGAAGAATCAGTATTCACAAGAGATCAAATAACAAAACATAGACAAAACAATGGTTTCCCTTTCAGGGCACGTGTGTAGGAAAAACATAATATAGAATCAGTTTTGTTATTTCATTTATTTTGAATTTCTAAGGATACAGAATTTCTAAGTAACATTTCCCAAAATATCATCTTTATAGAATCAATAAGGAGCCGTCTTATACTACAGGTATAGGATAAAAAAAAAAAAAAATAAAAAAAAATAGTATGAAAATTTGCTATATTTTTTTACCTTGCCTTCTCTAAACATTGCCTTATATATAGAAATATATGGTGTGTATGTATGTTTGTGTATATATATATATATATATATATATATATATATATATATATATATATATATACATACACACAGTGTAACCTTGATATAAGAGAGTTGTCGGGACTGGAGAAGAAGTCTCTTATATCCGGGTTTCTCTTATATCCGGGTTTGGTCTATTTTATATACATTAACACAGGCTCTAATTTGGGACCAGAGAAAATCTCTTTATATCCGGTTACACTATATATATATATATATATATATATATATATATATATATATATATATATATGTGTGTGTAAAACATGGACACTGAAGTGACAATGTCCACTTTTGCATTCACTATCCCTGATATTGAGCCCTGTAAACCATAAATATAGCATACCTTAAAACATATATATAGTGAGAGAGGGAGAGGGGTCCAAAATACTGTGAAATATCAGTCCCTAGAAGTTATATTATTAACTAATGCTTAGCACTATTTCAATACCAATATATCTATATATAGTAGGGTACAATACAATCTGAAGATGCATTTTAATTAGATGGTTGTGTCATTTAAGAAATATCTCATCAAAACCAAAATGGCAGTGCTCTTGAGAAATCACTGTAAGCATCTTTATATAGAAATTTATTTCCAGTAAATCACAATTTTCTATTTTTTTCCTTAAACTAGGCCAGGACAGCCAAGCAACAATGCTATATCAATGCAGCAGGGAAAATGTTTAGGATTTTGAATGTTGATTTTCAAAGTAGTTAAGAACAATAAACTTACTCATCTCAAACCCCTTCATAGCTCTCTATTTCATTCTAATCACGTTTTCTCTTTCACACTATTTTAAGCAAATTTGTTTTCCTAACAATTTTTGTTGTATATTACATGATTTGTTATATTGTATTGGCTTAGTTTGTTAGAGCGAGAACTTTACAGTCCAAAACACAGGTACAAACCTGATTTCCCAGACAGGTAGATATCACATAACGAAACATAAACACTCTTTGGGTCCTGTCATTGGATCTAACTAACACTTTTATCCACTGTGCCATGTATCCTTGAGGACACATGGCACAGTGGATAAAGGTGTATGAGTTCAATACCTGGTTAAGGCAGTGGAAAACTTGGAGAGGGGAATTAACAGGAGATAACTGACATCCATTAGACATGGAACGTGGAACTAGAACAGTCTACCCCAGTGAGCGAAATAAAGGGTTCAATTCAACATTCCAACCACCTGAAGAAGGCCAGAGCACACAACAGCCAAAATGTTGTGATAAATTTGGCAACAAAGATTAGGACAAAGGTCCGAATAATGTAAATAGTGTACATAATACCTCATCTCAGAAATATAGACAGAAAAAGTAGTGAGATATGGCACAAGGTTGTTTTTAATGAAGGATTCCCATATGCATACATATGGACCAAGGACAAAAATTACCCAGCTCCATGACTGACCCATCCTCTTTAGTGAAATGAAGGCAGTGTTGCTGCAGAGTTGGAAACCCCAAGATCAGGCACTTGCTCAAAGCTTTTCTTGTTTAAAGACAGAAATATGACAGAGATGAACAGATATTACACATTGATTTGATCCCATATTGAAGGCCTATGAGCATGCACTCTGATCCTAAAAAGTGATAAGTAGCAACATTTTAACCCTTGATAGATCCTATAATTACCATGATTAGAGATAGAAAATATGAATCCATGTAAATAATAATCCTGTATGTTTGTATTTACAGAGCAAAGTAACAGTCTTTTACTTTTGATAAGACTAAACTTTCTAATGCTTCATAAAAAAGTAAAACTTTTAGATAACAAATGTAATCTATTTTGGGTCATTAACCATGACATAAACAGAATTTTAAAATAGCTTTATCAATTTACTGGAAGCATTATAGGACACCTAATGTTCAAATATCTTAAGAGCACTTGTATGTTGTTACCACTACTTTAAGAAACAAACTGATAACATAACAATCTGAGGTTTCTAAGTACCAAGTTAATGATTTTCATTATGTTAGTTACAAGGACGTAGGTTACTTTAATTTTTGCTTCTACCTGTTTTTTTGTTTTGTTTTGTATAGCACTTTGGTCAGAACTGTGGTCTGCCTGAAATGAGAAAAAAAAGAAGCCTCAGTGAAGGTGGTCAAGCAGGACATGCATCAGCAATGTCAGCAGCAGGCAGATTATTTTTAAGACTCACAGTACAATAGCCAGGGTCAATTAAAGTATTGGTTCATGAATTTGGTGACACAGTAATTATGAGTTCAATCCCTGGGCTGAGTAGGGCAGACAGGCTTAGTGAAAACAGGTGAGCAATACTAAAATAAGACAATATATCTTCAAATATGGAGAGTGAAATAAGAAGAATCTATTCTTACAGATTAAATAAAGATTTCAGTTTGAAATTCCCTGGTGGTAATCCAGATTAACAAACACCTGATAAAGGCTGAAGGTTACAATGAACAAAATATTGTGCCAATAGTCTGAATGCAAATAAAGGAAATTATGATACTTAATTTAGTCTACAAGAGAGAGTTGTAATTGTATATCCAATATTGTTTTTTACCATTTTCTACACTCTTCATACACTTTTCATACACTCTCCAATACAGCCAGTAAGATTATAAAAAAAAAAAGTCTTATACGAAAAATCATATTTTAGGGTGATGTTATTAGTGATAATGAAGTTAAGAGTTTTAAACGTTAATAGATAATGAATTGCAGTTATTTATTACTGTATGTTTTCTGTAGGTCCTTGTCAATAAGACAATATTTTTTTTAATCATTTCACCCCAAGCAAACCAATAAAGTCACTAAGACACAACAGGTTACTGAGTTAGAAAATATGGGGAAAAACACTATTAATACTTAGCAAAAGGAATTTTAAACAAAAATTACATATTTTAGAAGCTTTCCATCCATATTAAAGCCAACAACTAAGAAAATCTCCTGTGATTCTAATAAAGGGCATTCTAAAATATATTTAAAGTCTTAGAATCTACACTACATCCCCATTGTATGATACCACAGTTTCAAAACTCAAAAACATCAAAAGCTCATATGACAAAACAAACACCAAAATCTTAAAATTCAAAATCATGCAAAAGCCATAAACAGACTTTGAATGACTTATTTTTTTTTTATTTTTTTTTTTTTTTTAAGACTGAGTTTAGTTGAAAGCTTGGAACTTTAACCAAAAAATAACGAACTATGAAGAGTTTCTTTACACCTTCAACAGCAAAATATGAAAACTAATCCAACAAATAAGAAGAATTTATTGAAAATATAAAAGACAAAACTGTCTGGGGAAACACAAACATAAGTTGTATTTCAGAGCTGAAACTTTCATGACACATTCATCTGAAATGACTCCACAAATGGTTCCACAAATGTGGGCATTGAAAGTCTGTTATTTGAATTGATGACTGCAGCTTCATGGAGTCTGGCTTGCCAATATGAGCCATTTCCAACATATGTATGGATGTCTTATTATAAAAAAGAACAGATATTTGATGTCTATTAAATTTATTGATCATTCTTTTCTGGTTATGCGAATAACATTGCACAAATGTGGCTGTTGTTGATGCATAAAACAGCCAAAATTTATATTCATTTCAAGTTTTCAACTTACTAGAATCATCATCAGGCATGTGAGTAAGGGAGAAGTAAAGAAAAACAATCATATTTAAGAAGCATTTTGTCTCAAAATAGCTATTAATATGAGAGTGAGAGAGCAAGAGTGAGTTAGTATATATATATATATATATATATATATATATATATATATATATATATATATATATATATATAGAGAGAGAGAGAGAGAGAGAGAGAAGGAAAGAGACAACTTTATCCATTACACTATGTGCACACCCAACACTTAGCATTTCCAAACACTCACCCATCTAGGTACTGACCAGATTCAATGTTGCTTAACTTTGGTGATTGTATGGGAACAAGGTGTTTCAACGTGATATGGCCATGAGCCATTATAGGTCAAGAGGAATTGCTCATACATTTATGTAAAAGTGTTGAAAGACAGCATAGGAGAAGAGTAAGAAAATAACTTGAAAGGATTCAACCATAAAAGTTGAGGAAAAACTGCACCAGACGTCGATAACCGACTTCATAATTACTTGGAAAGTTCTATAAAATGGTTCTACTTATCTCTCCTACTAATTATTCAGACTTTCTTTCCTTTATCTTTTTCTAAGACTAGCAGAATGATTGCTATGGAGTTATGGTTAATGTGCTGGTCTTGAAAACCATATGTGTGTGAGTTCAATCTTTACAGAGTATTCTGTGTTTTGTTAAATATATCTATGAAGTCTGTCCAAAAAGCATCTAATCATTTAATATCAACAGTAGGAAAAAAATAATAGAGGTTTATTGTAACAGAAGGTGTAGTCAAGAACAAAATGGCAAGCCTTACCATACTGGTCAAAACTTTGACCATTCCTTTATATGGAAAGTTTTTTTATACCTTTCCGATGGCTACTTGCTTTGAAGTCAAAGTTCAGAGTTTGCCATAGCTGATCTGTAACATTGTTTTATTCTACAGTTCTTAGCTGGTATGTAAAACATTCTGCAAACCCGTCTTAATATTGTGTGTACTTAAAAAATTAGAGCGTACATTTCTATAATTGTGTCAATCTTGGTGATAATCTTATGCACAGTTATTTTGGGGATCTGGAAATGCTAAAGTTTTTCTTGCATAAATTAATAGTAATTGTTCATTTACATCATTTCAGTTTACAAAAGGTTCCATTGGAATGTTCTACTTTCAAATAACAGGAAAGCTGAATTTTTTTTAACCTTCAAAATAGATTGTTTTTTTAATATACTGGTGACAATTTTTCCTATATTTTCCTTCTTGAGGTTCCTTTGTGTTATTCCTGTCAATGTATAAGATCTTGTTAAAAGAGCTCATTGGTATGACTTGCATCATCTACAAATTGTCACAAATTATTCTGATTTACTGCCAAATTAAGAAGACCCAGAACTTGCAAAATATTTAAATTCTTCACAATATATGACATTTCTTAATAAGCTTTGCTAGTCTTAAATGCTGGCATACTGTTTACTGAGTACAATGTCAAAGACAATTTGACACTGGCAGAAATAAAATATAACTACTTTATGAAATGGTGTAAAGATAGAGTTTGTTACCAAGGTGTAAGAATTGCAATGTTTTCCCTAAAGGGTACACATTTGAAGGACTTGTAAGTATATGACATATCAATGAATTATCTTATCAGCCCCTTGATGGCAAAGAAATTTTTTAAGAGATGTCTTGACAGCCATTTTCCATTTCCGTTAAGAAACAATGATTTATCAACTACTCTGATAGAATATAAAACCTACTTTTATTCACCCAAATATTAAAACTTGATAATTCTGTAATAAATGCAAAAAAAGAAATTTTTTTTAACTGTGCCAAATAAGAAACATTTTTACATACCAGCTGATTGATTCTTTTTCTTAGCATTTCCTGCAGAAATGGGAGGTTACGTCTTATATGCCATCAATGCGTTGATAATACTTTTTCTTTTTTAATCAATTCACCCCACACAAGGTAATGTCCCTAAGGTGCAAGGAGCTGCTGGGAGTGAAAGAGAATGAAAAAAAAAAAAAAAAATTTTAGAAGGAACTGGAAATCCAATCTGAAAGAGAAAAAAGGGATAAAGCTCTACTCCTGTTCAAAAAACTAGGGAGGAGTGTGAACTGGATGAGAGATGAACCTATCTACTCCTACTGAGGAAAAATAAATAAATAGTAAATAAAATTTCAGACTTTAAGTGAAGATGTTAGAAATATAGAGTAGAAATAAACATTAGACGGAACCTGAAACCAAATCCTAAATAAGAAAAAAGGTATTTACATTATTTACATAATTGTTCAGATTGTTGTCTTCATCGTTATTGTCATATTCACGTCTTGGTCATTATACACCCCAGCCTTCTTCAGGTGATATACATTGGAATTTCAAACCAAAACCTTTATTTTCTCCACCAGGGTAGATTGTTCCCATTCCACATGCCATGCCTTTTCTGGATATCTCAATTTCAGCTAATTCCTTGTAGTAACTCAACTCTCCAAGTTTTAGTAAATAGTATAATTAGTCACAATACCTCATCTCAGAAATATATACAAAGGAGGAAAGAAGGTATAAAACTACTTGTGTTCAAAATACCAGGGTGGAGTGTGAACCGGATGATAGGTGAACCTATTTACTAAATGGTAAAATTAGTTATTTTCATACAGGATACATTTGGCATTCATTATCTGGACTTACTGTTGTCTTTTGCTAGAGGTTGAAATTTATAAAATCTTTCTCTTAAGCAGGTTTTCTTGATATTCAGTTGTCCCGGGGTTCGTACTGGCTGTGTTCTTGCAGGGCAGACATTTGCTTTCTTTTTACAGAGACAGCACACTAGGTGTTGTCTTTTTGAACGATTGGGTTGGGTACTGTTATCAGTGGTGGTAATTTGGCCAAGTTCTTCATTTGTGATTGTGTAGCACCAGATCTAATGAAGAACTGAGAGGCGTCATCTGATTGAAGCCATTTTTAATCATTGTAATAAGAAAATGGAGACACATAACCAACTGGAGGAGTTGAATACCATGCCATGAGTATAGATTTGAGGGAGGTGCTGAAAATTTCCAAGACCAAGAAGAAAAAAAAAGAAAAAAACTGTGACATGTAGGCCAGGCCGAGAACATTATAATATTGCAAAGATATCAGCTAATTATAAGCTGCAAGCAAGAAAGATTTGCAATTGAACATGAAAAAAACAAAATTCAAAATGTTAAATTTTTCACCTCCAGACAATGAATTCTTATCAAGAAATTTAATAAGCTGAAGAAAAAGAAATAATAGATAAATAAAATTAATATATTTACCTATAGAACAAACTAAATGCTATATATAGTTTCAAAAATATATGAAGTACTGAAAAAAAAAAGAAATCTTCATGACGGAAAAGAGAAAAAAAATGGCTATTTCAATGATCAAACACCTGAAACCTGATTTAGAGAAATGAAGATGGGCTGAGAACTTTGTAGCATTTCTCTTGTATAATTATTGAAACTAATTAAACTTGAAAGAAAGACTAAATAAAACAGAAGAAACAGGTTTCAACCTTCTTAACAGATACAAATCAAGTGACCCTTTTTACAAGGTCATTAGCATGAAATTATTTTAATATTTTATTTTCATCATTTATTAATAAAATGAAATAATTTTCAGGAATAGATTCAAATTGTTCTTAAGTCTTCATAATATAAACCAAGAAAATAACGGAGAAGGAAACTAACAGTGAGAAATCCAGGAAATTAAGTTTGATATGAATAAATTCATCAATGAGAGTCACAGATATGTAGAAACAGACACAAATTTCCTCTCTTTGACCTCAAGATAAAAGAAAACTCAAAGAAAGGATATTTCCTCACCAAGATATAACATACAGGATAAATCATCTAAATTACGTAAAAATGAAAATAACACTGACATCTCATTTTAACACAGTTACCAAAATTAAACAAAAATATTTTGAAATACTAAAAAGTAAATTTATTCGATAAAATAGTCATTGGTTTCAACCACAGCCTCCAGACGATTTCAGAATCTCCTGCAACTCTTCTGGATGGTCTCCTTGTTTAAGTTGGTGAATGCTGCCATTCAGGAGTTCTTTTCTTATCAGAACGATCATAGTTTTCCGAGCTCTTGTACCTTCATAATCACCATTAGACTCATCCAACTCTTTCCAAATCTTCTGTACTGCTCTCAGAATGACACCCAAACACTCTGAAATGTTCATATTGAAGCTTCTAGTGCCAATGCCAAGCAGTACAGCATGCCATTTCCAAATTTCTGATAGAGTGAATTGCATCATGCTCTTCTCTTTCTCAGACGGTGCCCAACTGACCCTACTATGCTGTGCAGTTGACAAAAGCAAAAACAAACAATGTGCATGCACAAAATTAAAAATATAAAATGGCGACGATTTACCCATACCATCTTGTAAAACAGGGCTTTTTCTAGTAAAGAACATTTATTTGTTGTATAAAGCCATATTGGCTCAAGGTCACATTTTTTGGAGAATTCAAGTTCTAATTCACAAGCAATAGTTTATGGACAAGAAACAGTTTGCAGTATTTTTTTTTTATAATTTGTGCATGTGCGTGGGGGAGAGTTTTAGGTGCACCTTGAGGACAGAGTTCACTCAGTGAGGAAAATCCATAATTGATGTGAGGGGGGTGCCTAGTGAGTATTCAACTCATTAAAAGAGCAAAGTCTATAAGATGAGGATGTTAATTACAGCACAGATAAACACTTCATTATATATGTTTACCTATGAAGTAATTAACATTCTCATCTTAACATATATATATATCATATATATATATATATATATATATATATATATATATATACACACACATTGTACAAGTGTAGCTTGGATTTCTTAGGCCACTTTTCTAAACTATCTCCCACCCCAGAGACATAGAAAGAGGGAGAAAATCTTGTATATGTTTTTTTTTCTTTTAATGGCAACAGACTAGAAAAGATCAATGCTATCAATAACAATGAACAAATCATCCTCTTTAGAAAATTTGGGATCTTCTCAGTTAATTCACCCCAAATAATGTACAGTTACTTATCGCAAATATTAATTCATCCCAAGAAATTATAAATTTTAAATCAAAATTTGTTTAGCTTGCTTTGCAACAACCCCAACCCTTAGAATGAAAAATTACCAAAGATCAGGAAGTTATTCATATTTAGTAAGTGCAGATAATATTTGACATACTTACAAATGATTTTTTATAATTTAAAAAAAAACAAAGAAAAAGTTTTTGGCTTGTTTATGGGGGTGGGTGTGAACAGTGACTCCCACACTTAGAAATAGCACACACGAGTCACCCACATTAGGGGTGATCTTAAAAGGTCAACATAACTGGAGTACAATGGAAGGGCCTT